CCGGAGCTCCGGAGCCCGCGGCGCACCCGGTCCGGCACAGGCTGGCCGGGCTCCCCGGAGCCTGCTGAGGGGACAGCGGGGCTCGGTGGGCTGAGGGCACACGGGGCTCGGTGTCCCCTCCCCGCGGGACACGCGGGGTTTGTGCTGGCCCCGTGTGACAGCGCGCCAGGCGAGGACATCATCCTCGGAGCGCTGCAAATGCGCCTCCTTCCCCCAGAGACCGGGCGCGCTCCGGCTCGCGGTTAATATTTCATGAGGTTTCAGGGCACACGCGCTCTCCCGTCCCCGCAGCAGTGGCCCAGGGGCCCGGCCCTGCGGCAGGTGACAGCTCCGTGCCATTCCCGAGCGCTGCTCCCGTGCGGCGCTGCTTCGGCTGCTGGGACCGGGGTGAACAGGAGCCTGCCCGCTCCTTAGGCCTCGGCTCCGCTGTCCTGTCTCAGGAATGGCATCGGTGTGAAATCCCAGGATGCCTCATCTCATGGCCAATTTGCTCGGGTTTCCTCGGCGGGGGCTAATGTGTTTTCCATGTTAACGTGCCTGCACGTGGCATCCAACCTGACTGCAACATGGAGCCACTAATACTACATGACTGGCACATGTGCCCCGTTGGAGGGGACAGGGCTGCATGCTGTGCCACTCCTCCACTGCCTTTTGCCTGGGCTGACCCCAAATTTACAACGTTTCGGGTTTCCTCACTAAGAAGGAATGTTTTTCCCGCAAGGAAAACATTTGCTTTATCCAAAATATTTCAGGTCCCTTTGTTGCCCATGACCCCTGCTAAAGAAACTGCGGGGAAAGGTGTAGGGAGCTGCAGAAGTCATGGGGGGCTGAAGGGGCTGAGGGAGTTGTGGGGGGCTGTGGGGAGCTCTGGAGATGCTGCACACAATCCTCGAGGCTCTGGCAAACGAGGGGTGAGCACAGGATGCCCAGCTGAACCTTCCTTAGCTCTGCATCACACAGAGGTCTTGAAAATGCAGTCCCTCTCCCCAGATAATGTTCTGATTTTTGGTGTGTTTATCCTGTGACCCCCTGTATGTATTTCTGTGGTGTGGATTGCAGTATTTGGGTGAGCAGAGTTGTGGCTCTTGGTGGAGCCTGGAGGGTACATCTCCCTGCAGCAGCCCATGTGCTGCCCCTCGGCCCTGCCAGCTGGCACCTGGGGGAGGATTTGCTCCCCATGCCACAGCCCCTGCCCCCAGTGACATCCCCAGGGCCTCGGGATCCCGTGTCAGGTCTCCTGGGGTGACCAAGGGCCTGGTAAGCCAACAGGTGTGTTAGACACAGCAGCCTCTGGAGGAGGAAAACCCAAGTTTCCTGTGTGTCCCTCTGCCCTGCATCTCTCCACTTCAGCTCAAGCCAGTTTCAAAGCAAGTAAATGCAGGTGGAGGATTCACCTGCCCACCCATTCCCTGCTCCTTTTGTTCCTGGAATGAGAAGTTCAGCTCACCTGCCTGGCAGCAGCACCACTCCAAGCACAAGGACATGGGGAACTGCACAAGGTGCTTCCACTGAAACCAAAAACCTCTCCACTCCGAACAGCACTGAGTTATGCACTTCCCTCCCCGGCTGTGCATGCTGAGCTCTGGTGGAAGGCGGTGCCTTGGGTCCCTCCCGCTGGCCTGCTGACAGTCCAGAGAGAAGGGACAGAGACCTCACTCCTCAGCCCTTACAAACCACGGCCCACCCTGGCTGGGGCAGGGCTGCCGGGGCAGGCAGTGCTGGGCTGCCCCTGCTGCTCTGGCCAGCACCCTGGTGCTCTCCCATCCCAGAGTCCCAGCCCTCCCACAGCTCCCAGCCAGAGCCCGGAGCAAAGCCTGGCACAGAAACCACTGTCCTGAGGAACATTTCTCACCTCAAACTGAATGTGCCTCCTTGGGAGGGCAAATGACTTTGAAAACTCAGGAGAAGGGAAACACTGAGGGCAGAACTTGTGAAGGAAAAGGGGACTGGACGTTTGGAATTTTGCAGCTGAAAAACAGTTTTCTCTGGGAAAGCAGCATGACTCCAGCTCCAGGGGCTGCTTCTGGGACTTTCTGCTGCCATCACGAGCATGAGCTTGGCTCTACACCAAGCCAGGACCCTCAGCAGGTCCTGCCACTCCCAGGGGACACGGGTGGCTGATGGGGACATGCACACCGCCAGTGACACGCAGGGACACGTGTGCACACACACACACATACACACTCGCACACACACTCACGAATTCACACACACACACACATGTGCACAGACACACTCACACACTCATAAATTCACACACACTCACACTCACAAATCCACACACACTCACACACATGCACGCTCACACACTCACACGCTCCTGCCGGGCCGTCTGCTGTTCCCACCTGCCCCACAGCACCTGCTGCCTTGCTCCCGGACCCCCCAAGCCCCTGAGCCCCCTCTCCTCTCTCCCCCCTCCTCCTCACACATGCTTCTGTACATCCAGGAGCTCCCCCGGCCCCCTCGTGTTATCAGATGTGCTTCTATTGATTTCCTCCCTGCATTTGTTTTTGTTATTCATTATTAATGGGATCATTTTTCCATCCTTTGTGCATGAAGGCAAATTTTGTGTAAAAATCAATTGAGTGAGCAGTGCCAATGGCTTGTTTGGTTTTCTTTGCTTTCATCTCCTGTTCTCAGGTCCTGGGAGACAGAGAGCAGGATATTAAGGAACGAGCATGGAATGGGAAAAAATAATAAATCAATGGTTAGTGGTTCAGAAACCATAGACAGGGAGTTTGCCTGCTGAGTCTCTCACACGTGTACTGGGTATTTCCTGTTTCAGCAGGTTTCCCTTTCCCCTTTATCTGGGCTGTCACTGAAAGGGAATTCCCTTTCTCAGCAAATTTCACCTGCATTTTCCATTTTACCTGTGGGAGATGGGTTTGTGCATGGGGTGTGTTTTGAAGAATCAAGTGTCCCAGGTGGATCCCACAGACCTGCTGCCCAGGACAAGGAGCCCCAGCCCCCAGAAAATTGTGAGTCTGATGCCCAGGCACCTGGAGAGACCGATGGGGCAGCGGGGAGTGTGGGGCTGTGATGTGGGGCAGCTTCTCACAAACCCGAAATTCCGAGCCCCGGCTCCATCCTGCCTCCCATCCCTGCTGGCGACGCTCACTGGCTGCGGGGCGCTGCTCTGGATCCGGAGGAAAAACGTGGGCTGCTCCTTTGTGCCCCTTCAGCACTAAACACCGGTTCCGAACTCTTCCGCCGAGGCTGAGAGAAGTTCATCCCCGGCTCCAGGAGGATTAGACGAGCTTCCTGCATCGCAGCGGGTTTGCCCCAGAGTACCAGAGCCTTGGGAGCCAAACCCAGGGACAGACGGAGGCACCGGTGGTGTCCAACCGGGACGTGCCTGACCTCCAAAGTAAATCTCAAACGAAGCGATCAGGTCCTGTGTGAAATCTGGGCAGAGCCCCCTGTACAGAGCCCTGCCGGGAGAAAAGGAGCCGGCAGGGAGGGTGAGCTAAAAGGTCAGGGGGCTTAGGGTGTCCCTGCTGAACCTGTTGGACGTGAGGAGGAGCTCAGAGGAGCTGCTTTGTGGGACAGTAGCTGCGGGTTTGGGAAAGTTCGTTTAGGATTTGTTTTACATCTTTAAGGCACTCCCCAGAGCTGTGCAAAAGGGACGAACGCCGAAACGTCCAAACCACAAAGCTAGGCAGCACAAGGACAGCCACAAGAGAAACAGCCCGCTCCGATCTCCCTTCTGCAGGTGCGCAGGGCGGAGGCGGCCGGGAGCCGTGGGGGTGCCCTGCGCTGCCGGCCGGAGCGGGGCTCGGCGGGCTCGCACCGGGTGTGACCCGGGCCCGGGAGAGGCTGATCCCGCCCCAGGGCAGCGCTAGCGCTCATTTCTGCGGGGACACCAAAGACGCGAGGCTGCGGTGCCCCGGGGCAGCGGCACCGCCTGGGATCCGGGCTGGATCTCCATTCCCGTGCCCGGAAACGCTCCCGGCTCCTCGCCCGCTCCTCCGGAGCCCCGGCGGCCGCGGGACCCGTCCTCAGCCCGGGGCAAGGCGGGGGCAGCTCCCGGACACACACGAGAACGAGGGAAGGGAGAAAGGCACATCTTACCTGTGAAAACACGGGCCTGGAATCCGCAGCTGCGGGGGAAGATGCCGTCGGAGATGCCTTTATAATGAGGAAGGCAATTATTATTGCGTCGCCCTGATTCTAAATTTTCAGAGCCCACAATATAATGCAATGGCATAAGGGCAGTTTTTGTTAAAGGGCATTTGACTGGGGAAAAATCACTGAGGATGATTGGGAAAACGCGGTGAGAGCAAGAGTTACCCGCGAGGAAAAGGTGAATTCGTGAGATCGTTTCCTGGCGGGGGAGGAGGACGAGACCCGGTTCTCAAGTTCGATGTTTGTCACTCATTGAAATGCTAAAGTGGAATATCCAGAGGAGGCTCACGCTTCGAACATTAATCTTTAATCGTTAAGGTGCTTCTGGGAATCGCAAATAAAAGCCCTTTCCCCCTCCTGAACACATTCAGAAACGAACCCGGCATCGGTTTGGGTGGGGGGATGTTTCCGTTTGCCCGGGGCGGGGGCGGCGCGGGGCCCGGGGGGCGAAGCCCCGCTCAGGGGCGTTTATTGAGGGTGCGATTGCTCGTTCAGGTTATTTCGGGTATTCCCGTCGGCGCTGCGGCGCGGGGCGGCGAGGAACGACACGTCCCGGCAGGTTGAAAAATAAAGCTTTATTAGGGAGCGGGGCTCGCTGGCCGCGGCGGGACGGAGCGAGCGGCGGGAGCGGCGGGACGGGGCGGGAGCGGCTCTGCCTCGCCCGCCGCCAACGCGGACCGGGGACCCGCGGAATTCCGGCCGCGCCGCTCCGCTCCCCGGCTCCGCTCCCCGGCTC